ACTTAAATGACCTTATAATAATTTACACTACTAAAAATATTATTTTCTTCAAAATTTTATTTCCTATATAGATTCAAATACAAAAATAACCTATTTATCATGTTATTTTAATTATAAAAATGATTAGATAATATCTTTTTTTATAAATATAGTTTATGTTATGATAAGTATACAATCATAATAAATTAGAATGGGTGGAGTATAAATTAACAAAAGTTAAGAAAAAAAACTTACATAATGCACACAGTATTTGTAGAGAAGAAACAAGCACTTAATATGTATTGTTTGTGATAAATAAAATCAAAATATTCAACTATCATAAATATCTTGAGCAATCAGATCACGGATTGCCATCCAAATATTATTATTTCCTTGATTTTCTACATTTTCTTTATTTGCAACGTTGACTCTTGTGGATCTTCCAACATCAGGATCAACACGTGGCACATATCTCTCATTCTCAGCTTCTTGGAGTGTATTGTCCACCTTACATTTCTTTCTAATATAATTGTGAATTACCATTGTCGCCAATACAATATCTCTTTGAGTGTCAATATGATAAAAAGGCATATCTCGCAAAATAGACCACCTTGCTTTTCATACCCCAAATGTTCGCTCTAAAATGTTTTTGCAAGAAGAATGCAAATAATTGAACATTTCTTTATGTCCATTTGGTGCTCGCAATTATCGTATCGCACCTCGACGAAATTCTGCAAGGTGGTATCTCACATTATCCCCATTATATGGAGCCATATATCCCTTTATGTGTGAATATCCTGCATCAACAAGATAATATTTGTCCTCAGATGGATGTAGAAAATTCAGTTCGGGTCTACGAAGTGCCTTACCAAATATACGGTTATCATGAGATGCTCCTTCCCACATAACTCATGCAAATATAAAACACATATAGATATAATAGATATTATATATATATATATATATATATATATAGAGAGAGAGAGAGAGAGAGAGAGAGAGAGAGAGGTAGAAATATAGATATAATATATTTTTAATGGGTTAATGGTTTATCTGATAAGAAGATTGAGTAATCCTCCCCCGAACCGATAAACCATTAATTAACTATAAAATTCCAATCTGTTCACCGGCCGTTAATCCGATAATCCGATACTTGTTTAGGTTTTGAAGAACTGGGAGAGAGTGAAACTATACGAAGAGTTTTGTTTTAAAAAGAAGTATTTTAGGGATAGAATAGTAAATATTTTAGTTAAATCTAAAGTGCTTATAAGCTGAAATTTGATAAGTTGGGGGAGACTAGCTTATGGCTTTTGGCTCATTTTTGACTTATAAGCACTTTTAATTTTACCAAACGCGTAGATAAGCTAAAAAGTGCGTATAAGCTAGTTTGACCAGCTTATAAGCTTAGTCAAACACCCTCTAGGCGCCATCACGATATCCTGAAGTGGAAATTTGGGGTTGTGACAACTCGATTTTAAAAATTGATGCTAACTTTGAATATATCTTTTAAAAACTTATTCTACTTTTTTTCCTTCTAGCCTGCTCTCTCAGGATTCAACTATTAGTTCACGGCCACAAAGTTTGCTCATAATGAAGCTAACAACTTGTTTGGATTGTTGTTACAGGTCGTTTCATAATGTATTGTATTGTATTGTATTGTTTGATGAATACAATATTTTAATAGATTGTATCATTTGTTGTCGTTTCATGATATTACACATCAATATGAAGAATAACTTGCTAAATTACTAAGAAAAAATAGGATACGAAGTAAAATTATTATATAAAAGGGGGTAAAAGATAAAATATGATTATCTAATTATAAGTAAGGACAAGATGAGAGAAATAAGCAAAGAAACGACGCCACCACACCAAATCCGTCGTTCCATAAACTGTCACTTTTCGTTATTACGTAATGATGGATTTAACAATACGATACAATAAAATTTAAGTAAAACAAAAATTATATTTAAAGTAACAATACAATAGGTAACAATCATCCAAACAAGTTGTAAGTGGGTTACTAAAATGCTATGTGAATATGGACTTTTTTGTCAAACGCATCAAACCTTTCCTAATCAATATTATTAGTCCTGAGCAATCAACTTCTTACCTCATAGAAGAGCCTCAGACAATGTCATTATAGTGCAAGAAAGAATGCATCAATTTAGAAAGAAAACAAGGAACTCAGACAGCTTTCTTGCTAAAATTGGACTTAGAAAAGGCTTTTGATAAGCTTGAGTGGAGTTTTATACATGACACGCTTCAATATTTCCAATTACCACCAAAGTTTATAAAGCTCATAATGTCATGCATCACAACCACTTCAATTTCCATTTTAAATAATGGCCAACTAACTCCCTTTTTTTTTTCCTTCAAGAGGCATTCGTCAAGGAGATCCGCTATCTCCTTACATCTTTATACTCTGCATGGAAATGCTATCCAGAAGAATGCACATGGATGTAGACTATCTACGATGGCACTCTATTAAGTTATCCAGACAGGGACCACCTCTATCCCATCTACTCTTTGTAGATGATATTACTATAACCTCTAAATTGACTACTAAGAGCATAACTCAATTATAGACACGCTAAACCTTTTTACTAGACTGTCAGGGCTAACTATTAATTATACAAAATCCAAAATTTTCTTCTCAAAGAACACTCCTAAGGAAGCTCGAGATAGTGTTACTCAGGTTTTCTATATGAATGAGGGCATAACCTTTGGTAAATATCTTGGATACCCTATTTTCACCACAAAAGAAACCCCATCCCACTTCCAATACATAATAGACAATTTTAAAAATAAATTAGCAGGTTGGAAGATGAAATTCCTATCGATGGCGGGACACACTACTTTAATAAAAGCTACACTTAATTGTCTGCCTAATCATGTTATGCAATTAATCAAAATACCTCATATTATCATTAACAAGCTCGAACGATATCAAAGAAACTTCTTATGGGGCACTACTCCTCAAAAACGCAAATTATACCTTATTAAATGGGAAACAGTCCAATTACCAAAGGAAAATGGTGGATTGGGTATACAAAACCTCAAAGATAAAAATTATGCATTATTGGGCTCCCTAGCTTGGAGACTATTTCAATCACCTTCCTCACACTAGGCTAGAGTAATCATTACCAAATACTTAACAATTACTAATTCAAAAAATATGTCCTCCAACTCGAAAGTAATCACTCATGGTTGGTCCTCATGTCAATTAGGCATAAAGTGACATCTCTTAATGGAAAACACATTAGTTTCTAGAATGATCTTTGGCTAGACACTAACTTAACTCTAAGGAAAATAATTGAAGGTCCCCTACCCCATAATGATCAATCTTCATCACTTTTCCATTACATAATGGGGAACTACATAAATACTCAAAAAATACCCTTTGAGCTACCAAAGACTATAAATGAGTTAATTACCCATCACTACGTACCTACCATCCTAAACACTAACACATATGACCATATTTATTGGGGCATCACATCTAGTGGCCTCTTCACAGTTAAATCAATCTATCACACATTACACTCTTACGAACCAACCACATCCTTCCATTGGTTATGGAAACTACACTTACCCCACAAAATCAAATATTTCCTATGGCTTATGAGCCATCATCGACTGCCCACATTCAGTCATCTCCATCATATACATATTACCCAACATGCAAAATGCCCCATTTGCATTGCATAACATGATTAGTCCCTACAACATAATTTCACACCATTAGAGGTCAATATTGGGGCATTGTGCATGTTGGATAATATGTATATGATGGAGATGACTGGATGTGGGCAGTCAATGATGGGGCATTTTTGGTTTACTTATGCCCTTTGACCGTTAGGTCAATGCTGAATTAAAAATAATTACTTAAAAAAAATATTTTGTAAAATATTTTTATTTTTTTAAACTAATGCACCAGTAGTCTACTAATTTAGTAAAGTCTTCTTCTTCTTTTTTTCAGTTTTTACAAAAAACAATTCAATTTTTACAAAAAAAATATTATTTTTTTTAGTTTTTTAAACCATTTTTTTTGTAAAAATTAATTTTTTTTTTGTAAAAACAGAAAAAAATTGTTTTAACAAAAATATTTTCGTTTTTTAAAAATTGAAAAAAATATTTTAAACAAAATATTTCCGTTTTTGAAAAATATTTTTTTTTAGTTTTTTTTTTTTAAAAAAATTAGTTTTTATAAAACAAAAATATTTTGTTAAAAAACGAAAATATTTTTTTCAGTTTTTACAAAAAAAAAAATCAATTTTTACCAATTTGTTTTTCCGGTTTATAAAAACAAAAATGCTTTAAAAATGAAAAAAAAATATTTTTCAAAAACGAAAATATTTTGTTGAAAATATTTTTCAGTTTTTAAAAAACGAAAATATTTTATTAAAAATATTTTTTTTCTTTTTTTATATTTTTTTCAGTTTTTTAAAACAAAATGTTTTTTTTTTGTAAAAACTGAAAAAAAGAAGAAGAAGACTTTACTAAATTAGTGGACTATTAATAATTTGCAAATATTTTTTTTAATTAATTATTTTTAATTGAGCATTGACCTAACGGTCAAAGGACATAAGTGAGCCAAAAAGTTGGATGAAGGGGTATTTTTAGCCCAATAAAAGTATTTTTAAACCTTTTCCAATAGTTTAGGAGCATTTTGAACCATTTTCCGTTATTTATAGTTGAGATACAAATATGAGTCAGTTGACTAACGGTGTGGTTCAATTTTTAGAATATTATATGTGATTATAATTCTGAAATATCTCATGGGGTTAGCTATTCCACCTTCTACGTGGAATAACTAATACCATTATTTTGGTATAACATTTATACCAGTATTAGCTATACCCACAAGATTAATATCCTCATTTATGTAACAAACGACGCCGAAGCAGATATTTAAGACCAAATTCAAATGAAGGTTAAAGTTATCTATTTTCCATAACTGAGGGGTATTTTTTGCCGTTTGAATTATTTTCTCCATAGAACACGTTGAAACTTGAACATAAAATGGATAGGGCGCAAAGTGCAAAATGACAGACACTAGGGCGCAAAGTGCAAAGGAAGCAGCCCATTTGTGGAGCGCCAAGAAGCCATTTTGAACTTAATGCGAAAGCCTTTCTCTCACCTAAGCTCTAAGATCTCTCTCTCTCTCTCTCTCCACAGTGGTGTTCATGGATCCACAGATTCGTCACCATTTTCATAAACTAAACACTATCTAAATTTTCATTTCTCTTATATATGGATATGCACGGATATGTACCGATATTTCTATCAGCGAATTGTGCACTACTGTAGCGAACAAATTGGAGAGAAATGCAAGTCGCAATTGATCAATGGAAAGTGAGACGGCGAACCTTCTAGAACGCCAACCAGCAGCAGCAGGGACTAAGCCCATTTCCATTCGTCCGTCAGAATCCGCCAACGTCAGCCGTTCGTTTACAACAGCGACGCCTTCATCTTCCTCATCTTCTCAGTCGGATTTAATCCGTCACATTCAAGCCATCAAACGCCCTCGTCCGCTCGGTAACTATTTCTCAATGCTGCCAATACTTTTAGGGCTTTTTTTTTTGGGTGATAATTATCTCTTCTAATGTTTTGGCTGTTTTAGGGCTTTTTATCTCTATAGTGTAAGCTTATAGGGTTTCTGGTGACATGTCCTATCAATTTTTGGTAATTTTGTAGTATTGAGCGCAGTGGAGCTAGATTAAACGAAAGGAAAAGATATACTGTGCAAATAGGCAAAAACCAATTTTCTGGGGTAAAAAGTAAGCTGTTGAATCCCTTAGACATAAGAGAAAATTCTAGTGTAGTGGCAAAGGGAGTGCAAAAGTTGCCACTTTAGGATCCCCTTGTATAAATTCTTGGCTCTCATAATTTCTATTTTATTAATTTGCACGGTCTTAGGCTTTTCTGTTTCTCTTTTGATAAACCTCATACTGCTTGTCGTCCTGATGCATATGCATTTTCAATCTCTTTCTAAATGTTTCACTTGAAAGTGGAACCTTCTGCTAATGAGGATGCTAGAAACTGAAAAGCAATGGTGCTTTTTGGCTGGCACTTATTTTCTAATGATTGGCATCATAGTCATTATTTCCATTAAACTACTACATATATTGTTATATTGATTAATTCTGCTTTCCCCTTATCTTATCACTATAAATTTCACTATCTTCCCAGCAACGGTTTGATCATCAGTACCTTTCTGACCATACTTAAGTTCTCCTTTCCCATTTTAAATGCATCTGTTTCATGTTTGTTTTATTCTTTTTGGAAATTGCTTTCTGTTCAGCTAAAGTTGGGCTTCCAAGAGCTTTTCTCTTTTCTTTTATGTTTTGGTTTGTCTTATTTTGTCTTTTTCCTTTCTCCCAAAATTTTGGAGCTTGGCCATTCTGATTCACCACTCAAAGACAACTTTAAAAGCCAAGAGATCTAACATAAGAATTCTTTAGGTACAATGCAGTCAAATGTTCTTATGCCAAGGAGATCGGTGGCTCCTCAGCGGGGAGCCTCAAAAGGCTCTACTTTGAATACAGATTGTGCACTTGATACAAAGAAGACCCAAGATGAGATTTCTCTGAGTCACAGGCTAATGGAATGTATTTCACAACCAAAGAACATTGGCTCTGTTACTGTTGAAGCTCAAGAGGATGCGATGCTACCTTCAGAATATGGTTCCACTGTGGATGCACATGAAGAGAATTATAATTCTTTCAACAGTTTGAGAGATCAACCCAGATCCTTTACTGGTCGTAGAAGCAACATCACAGCTGCTTCCTCGGTTACAGAGTGTGAACATATTTTATTGGCTGAAGGGCAGAAGAGGGTCCATTTTGCTGCTGAAAGCACTTCCAAGTCGCAGGGTAGTGATAGTATGCTTCATTTATGAACTCCTCTAACTTCACTGCATATGACCATCTTTTCTATTAGACATATCTTGAGCTTTTGCATATTTCATCGACTGAATAATCTGTTTAGTGCTTATCTATCAAACTAAAGGATGTCTTACTGGCTAATCTACTCTGTAAACTAGGTCAGTTTAGTAGTTTGCAGATTATAGTACATAGGATATATGCTTTATGCAGGTGTCAATGACCAAACAGTCACTAGAACAGTGCTTGTTATCTCATGTGAATTCACTTACATTGGCAGAAATGGATTGGGATGTAGGCAATCAGATGGAGGCTGTGACTGCTGCTAGCCAAGTCTTGAGAGATCAAAATATCCAAAGCACAGATGTGGATGGTAACAGGAATTCTTCTCTATTGGAAAATAGAACATTAGGAGCTGCAGATCAGATTCACCAATTCAGGAACTTCTTACGGAGTGATTTGAGCCATCCTATGACTCAAGCTTCAGTCGTTGGGTCATCTTGCACTACGACAACATTGATAAACTCCACATCTGCTCACATGCTAAACTCAACAACCTATTGTTCTCAACCTCATCTAACGAGCAACTCTATGGAGTCTCTGGGGGAACCTAAACTTAAATCTGAACATCAGATGCAGCCGTCATATCCTTTTCCAAAGCATGAAAACAGATTTTCAGTTGATCAGACTGCTGTGGCAGTAGCTAGTTCTACCATTGGAACTGATTCAGAATTTAAGAGACCTAATCTGGCTGAAGGACAAAAGAGTAGTATGCCGATTACAGGTGACATGCCTAAAGATACTTCCCCTCTTGAAGATAACTCAGCCAAAGAATGTGTCACCGATATACAATCAGAAGCTCCCTTGTCAAAAGTTTCATCTTCCAATGTGAAGTTGGAACCTTCTAAGTCTAAAAAGGAAGAAAAAAGCATAGGCAGTAAGGCGCCATCTTCTTCTCGTAAAAAAAGTTATGATCCTGATACTTTTTTCAAAGTTAATGGAAAGCATTACCAAAGGCTTGGAAAGATAGGTAGTGGTGGAAGTAGTGAGGTCCACAAAGTCATTGCATCAGATTGCTCAATTTATGCTTTGAAGAAAATCAAGCTTAAAGGTCGTGACTATGCTACTTCATATGGGTTTTGTCAGGAAATTGAGTATTTAAAGAGACTGAAGGGCAAGAACAACATTATTCAACTAATTGACTATGAGGTTTGTACTTTGCATTGGCATTTAAGATTTCTTTCGAAAATGATAAGTTTACTGCTGTTGGCTTATGTTCTAGTTGAAAAGATCAGGGAAACAAAATCAAAATTAAGTGGTTATTTCATGGGTGAAACAATTGAAAACATTCTGTAGCCAACAGGACGGCGATGGTAGTTGCTCATCAGTGAACATGCTGACAGAAATAGTAACAGCAGTTGGATTTGCCTAGGATTACCTCTAGCCTCTAGGAAAAGCTGCATAATTTAAAAATGCTTAAAAAGTAAACAACAACTGCCCCTCAATCCCAACTACCTAGGGCCACTGTATGAATTCTCACTATCCATGTCACTCATTCAAACTCGTCTCAATCTGATGCTAATCAATAACTTAGGCTTTCTAACACTAGAAGTTCTCTACATTTTCTACTATTGCAGTACGAACTCTAATGAGATTAAAGTCTCCTAATGGATATTGGATCTAACGTAAGACTATCTACATGACTAGGCTTTAATCCTAACTAATTGGTATCCCCGCTAAGCTTGCATGGATTCCAAGAGATTGTAGTTCTCTTAGGATAATCTCCTTCCATGTGATTTTAGGTTTATCTCATCCCCTTTTAGCACCTTCAATCACCATAGTTTCACACCTCAAACCAGTGCATTTGGAGGTGAACGTAGAACATGATCAAACCATCTCAAGCTACCTTACCTTATACCAAAAGAAAAAAAGCTTCTCAAGCAACCTTCTCTCTGCTCATTTATCCTCCATGTGTGCTATTTGCACCTGCTGCCGACTGTGATAATTTCTAATCTTGTATGATTGCATATCTATCTTGACATCCATGTTTGTGCAACACACATCTTGTGTATATGTTGGATCTTAGAGGCCGAACATTCATCCCATATAACATTGTCGGTCTTACTAGTGTTTTGATAATACTTGATTTTACTTTGGTAGGTATCTTCCTATCACATAACTTTACGATAGAATTTCTCCATTCCAATCATCCTATATTGACTATGTGTTACTTACATCTTCGTCTATCATACCATTCTCTTCGAATCTCAAGCCTAGACTTCGAATTGCTGGCTCTTAGACACTACAGTCCCGTCTGATCTCCTTACAACTTTACTCTTCTTATGTTGGCTAAACTTTACAGTGCATATATCTAGTCTCTCTGCTACTCATTCACTTACTTTCTGGAATGTTTCTCCACAGTTCAAGCTAGTTTCGTGTGTTAATTGTCTGCTAAACAGAAAAAAAAGAAAGAAGAAAAAAGCTTTTCTTTAAGTGAAGCAGATCATCCAACATTGAACATCATCCAATAATTCTTCACCATTGGATTGATAAGATCACTTAGGCATTTGGGAACTTTATTAGATTAAAAAAAAAAGCTTTTAGTTTAGGGGGAGAGGGTGGCACTCTGGGAACATGTTTTTGAATTCCTTAACTTCTTAGACTAGTACTGATTAAAGTGAGAACTAGAAAATTCAAGGATGCTAATCTATATCAGTTCCCACATAACTTATCTTCATAGTGTACAAGTTGAATACACCTGGGATTGACCACGTTAAACTTAAACATGCTGGAATTAGAAAGCTAGTTTCAAGTAAAGCTATAAATTTCTTTTTCTCATACATATCACTATTGGTGTATGTTCAAGAAAACTTATACTCCCTCCATTTCAATTTGTATGACACACTTTCTTTATTAGTCCATTCCAAAAAAAAATGATATTGGAAACAATTTAACTTTATACTTTTCGTTTTACCCTTAATGAGAAGCTTTTATAGCCACATTATTTTCTTTGATTTTGTGCCAAGTCAAATTGTCACACATAAATTGAAATGGAGGGAGTGGTTAAGTTTTTTGTGCTGCTATATGAATGTCCAATCTGGAAATGGACATTTCCATGTTAAGACTTTAGCAACTCCATAGGGGAGATGATAACTACACAAGGATGAGAAGATAGAAAAAGAGAAAAAACACTTCTTTTGTGTGAGAAGGCACGGGAGAAAATATGATATATTGATATTGTGTGTTCAATACAATACAAGAGGTCCTTATTTATAGCTATACTATACAAGGACATATTACTCTTATTCCAATGTGGGACAAGACTACATTATGTACATATCTAACACTCCCGTCAAGCCGGTGTATACACATCATATGTACCGAGCTTGTTACACATGTAACTAATACGAGAACCAGTAAGAAACTTAGTGAAAATATCTGCTAGTTGATCATTCGACTTTACAAACTTTGTAACAATATCTCCTGAAAGTATTTTTTCTCTGACAAAGTGACAGTCGATCTCAATGTGTTTAGTCCTCTCATGGAACACCGGATTTGACGCAATATGAAGAGCAGCTTGGTTATCACACTCTAGTTCCATCCTGCTGATTTCTCTGAACTTTAACTCCTTGAGCGACTGCTTGACCCAAACTAACTCACACGTTGCCATAGCCATGGCTCGATATTCCGCTTCGGCGCTAGATCGAGCAATTACATTTTGTTTCTTGCTCTTCCACGAGACCAAATTACCTCCTACTACAACACAATATCCATATATAGATCGTCTATCAGAAGGTGATCTTGGCCAATCAGCATCTGTGTACCCAACAATCTGCTTGTGGCCTCGATCCTCAAATAGTAATCCTTTGCCTGGAGCTGACTTTATATACCGAAGAATACGAACAACTGCATCCCAGTGATTATCACAGGGAGAATCCATAAACTAACTTACAACACTCACTGGAAAAGAAATGTCAGGTCTAGTCACTGTGAGGTAATTCAATTTTCCAACCAACCTCCTATATCTCGTAGGGTCTCTAAGAGGCTCCCCCTGTCCAGGCAGAAGCTTAGCATTCGGATCCATAGGAGAGTCAATAGGTCTGCAACCCATCATTCCAGTCTCCTCAAGGATGTCTAAGGTATACTTCCGTTGTGAAATAACAATACCTGAGCTAGACTGAGCGACCTCAATACCTAGAAAATACTTCAGTCTGCCTAGATCCTTAGTTTGGAAGTGCTGAAAGAGATGTTGCTTCAGATTAGTAATATCATCCTGATCGTTGTCAGTAATAACAATATTATCAACATAAACCACCAGATAAATACACAGATTCAGAGCAGAATGCTGATAAAACACAAAGTGATCAGCCTCACTATGAGTCATGCCAAACTCCTGAATAATTGTGCTCAACTTACCAAACCAGGCTCGAGAGGACTGTTTCAAACCATATAGTGACCTGCACAATCTGCATACACAACCACTAAACTCCCTCTGAGCAACAAAACCAGGTGGTTGCTCCATATAAACTTCCTCGTCAAGATCACCGTGGAGAAAAGCATTCTTAATGTCTAACTGATAAAAAGGCCAATGACGTACAACAACCATGGACAAAAAAAGACGAACAAATGCTACTTTAGCCACGGGAGAGAAAGTATCACTATAATCAAGCCCAAAAATCTGAGTATATCCTTTTGCAACAGGACGAGCCTTAAGCCGATCAACCTGACCATCCGGGCTGACTTTGATTGCATAAACCCAACGACAACCAACAGTAGACTTACTTGCAGGAAGAGGAACAAGTTCCCAAGTGCCACTCGCATGTAAAGCAGACATCTCGTCAATCATAGCCTATCGCCATCCAGGATGAGATAGTGCCTCACCTGTAGACTTAGGGAATAGAAACAGTGGACAAAAAAGATATAAAAGCATAATGAGGTGACGACAGACGATGATAACTTAGACCAACATAGTGGGGATTAGGATTAAGTGTGGACCGTACACCTTGCAGAGTGCAATTGGTTGACTAAGAGGAGACAAGTCTGCAGTAGGTGCAGAATCTGATGTAGGACGTGAATCACCTGGGCCTGATGCTGGATGTGGACGGCGATGATAAGTTAAGAGTGGCGGAGCTGCAGAAGGTTGAACTGGATTATGTGGAGGCATTGGACCTATAGGTGGTGGAACTAGAGCTATAGATGGTGGAACGGGAGCTATAGGTGGTGGAGCTGGAGATGTAGAGGCAGATGGATGGGAGATAGTGACTGAATCTCCAAAAGAAGAGACTGGTAGTACCTCAGAAATATCTAAGTGATTACTTGGACCTGTGAAGTATGATTGGGTTTCAAAGAAGGTAATGTCAGCGGACATAAGGTACTGCTGGAGGTCAGGAGAATAGCATCGATACCCCTTTTGTGTTCTCGAGAAACCAAGAAATACGCACTAAAGAGCACGGGGAGCTAACTTATCTGTTCCTGGAGCAAGGTTATGGACAAAACAAGTGCTTCCAAAGACACAAGGTGGAAGAGAGAACAAAGGTAAGTGGGGAAACATAACATAGGATGGAACTTGGTTCTGGATAGCTGAAGATGGCATACGATTAATAAGATAGCAAGATGTAAGAA